AATTCTCATTTATTACTGGTGGGAACACAAAATGGTACAACCACTTTGGAAGAAAGTTTGGCAGTTTCTTACAAAACTAAACATATTCCAAGATGCCTGTTGATAGGTGAATGGATAAACTGTAGTGCATCTATACAATAAAATATTCAGCAATGAAAAGAAGTGAGCTATCAAGCCACAAAAAGACATGGAAGAACTTAAATGCATATTACTAAGTGAAAGAAGCCAGTCTGAAAAGACTACATACTGTATGATTCCATTCTGGAAAATGCAAAGCTATAGAGATAACAGAAAGGTCAGTGGTTGCCTGGGGTTGAGGGAGGGAGATGGGGAAGGATGAACAGGTGAAGCACCGGGGATTTTTAGGGCAATGAAACTATTCCGTATATTACTGTAATGGTGAATACATAACACTATACATTTGACAAAAGCCATAAAAACGTCTGGCACAAAAAGTGAACTTAAATGAACTTTAATTAATAATAATAATAGAATATCAATAATAACTAATGTGTCATGCCAATGAAACATGTTAATAATTGGGGAATTTGGTGGTGTTTGATGATGGGTTTTATGAGAAATCTCTATACTTTCTGCTCAATTTTTCTGGAAACCTAAACCTGCTTTTAAAAAACAGTCTATTAATTTTTTTAATGGCAATGAAGTGTAAAGCATAGGAATTTAATCAAGTATGCATACAAAATCTCTGCTTTTAAAACTTTAATGATTTACTAAGATAGCCTATTATAGAAGATGATTTTAATAACAGAAAGACATTTCTTAGTCTTGCATGGGAAGCTTCAATATTATTAAGACATTAATTCTTTCCAGATTAATGCAAAGATTCAATACCATCATAATTAAATTGTAGCTGGATTTCTGAGGCACTTAAACTTGCTTTAATGTGAATTTGGAGGACTAAAAGTCTATGGAAAAGCTGACTCAACCTTAAAAGAGAATCGTAAAGAGGAGGAACTTGCCCTGTTACATAACAAAATATATTTTAAAGCCATGGTAATGAAAACAGTTTGAAACAGAAATAAACCAATGGAATGGAGTAGAGAGCTCAGAAACACACCCATGTGAATGTGAGAATCTAATATATGAGAAAAAAGGCCCAATAAATTAATAGGAAAGAACAATTTGAATACATCAAAAATAAGGATTTCTTTTCAACAAAAGACATTATGAAGATAGTTAACAGGTAATGGGCAGAAACGGAGAAGATATTTTCAATATCTAAAATTGACAAGGGATTTTTACTACTGTATATGGACTGAAAATCAACAAGAAAAAATACAGTATAGAAAAATGGGTAAAAGATATGAAGAGATAATTTCAGAAGAGAGAACGTACAAAAATAACAAGCATATGACAAGATGCTCAAAATTATCAGTAATCACCCAAATGCAAATTAACACAATGCAATACAACTTTTCACCTATTACACTGGAAAAATAAGAGAGCTGGGAAATACCAAATATTGGCAGGGATGTGGGGTGTTTTTGAGTATAGATGGGCGTTGCTCTTCCAGAGCTTAATCTGGAGCTATGTAGCCAAATTAAATACATGCATATCCTGTGATCCTGAAATTCTCTTTCTGAAGATGTTTACCCAGGAAATTCCCATACAGTTCATAAGAGAATATGTACAAGGATGTCCTAGGACTGTTTGTGCTAGCCAAGAGTTGGAGGCAGTCTGTATGTTCATCACTAAGAGAGTGCATAAAAAAATGTGGTGGTTGCACCCCACGGAGCAGCTCGCTTCCATTACACAGCAATTGAAAGCAAGGATCAGATGTACACATAGTGCCACATGGATGGGTCTTAAAAACACATTGTTTATTGAAAAACATTAGGGAACATGAAATATATAACATAAAACCATGTGCATGAATCTAAACTGCATGTACACAAAAAATAACACATTTTTCAAGAGCTTATTCCTATAAGAAAAGAAAATAACAGACAAGAGGAGGCCCTCAGTGGACCAGTGTGATGATGTGGTATGAACTGAGAAGGATTAGCTCAATCCTCTGCACTTGAGGCCACAACAGGACCATTGAATGATTGGCCTTTTATAAGTTAGATTAAAAAAATAGTTCTGAATTCAAGTCCATTGTCCCTTGTTAAAATTCCCAACCTTTTTCAAACAAGAAAATGAAAAAGATACTTTGGGATAAAAGAGCATAGATTCACATTCTAGCCAATTACATGGTTATTCTCAAAGCCCCTGTCTACGCAAGCAGTGGTTCTTCCTTAAGATGAGATGAGGGTCGGGGAGTAATCCAAAGAACCTGATGTTTTCAGCCTTTCCTACTTCTCAGGTACCATGTGAGTTGTTTTATAGAACTGTCTCATACAATCTCCACCAGGAGAGGTAGCTATGATAATGCCCATTTTGCAGAAGCGGGCAAAACTAAAGCTCACAACAGTTCCATGCCTTGCCCAAGGTTTACAGTTAGTAAGAAGCATTTACACGAATCCAGGTCTTTGTGCTGGCTCCACTATTCCATACAAAAAGCTGTTGGAAGGCAGAAAGGTCCATATTCTTCTTCTGAGTCCAGGCACTTAGTACCTATGAAGACCTTAAGGGCTGGGCTACGGGTACCAGCTGCAACAATAGAAAGCCCAGAGATAGCCTCTCCATTTTCTCCTTCCTAGAATGATGGGGAAGATTGAGGTCACCTTCACAGTTTCTCCTGAAGGAGCTGGCAGTTCTGTCCAATTCTGAGACACCATGTGCTGGGTTCCTTTGCGTTGCACTCTGGCTGACTCCTGTTTCTGTGGCTTCTGTGTCTCAGATGGTCAATGTGCTCTCTTTCCATGACAAACTTCTCAAAGGCAGAGAAAATGGGCACTCTCTCAGTACAACCCCAGACAAGCAGGCCACACAACAAAGAGGAGATGTCCATGTATTAATTATGTTCCAAGTGAATTAAAATGCATTACTTCCATTCATCAGATTAGTTGGGCTGACCTCTTGGTTTAAAAGTGATTTGTTTCTGCCTGTAAGAAATCAAGCTATGAAAAATTAAAAATCATAATTTAAAAGGCACCACACCTCATAGCAGTAGATATACGAGTGATTCTTCATAGCATTCCTAGTAAATGTGGGCAAAGCGGACAAACATTATGAGCCAATAAAGTCTGGGCTGGCCACCAAATTCTTAGAATTCCACACCCAAGAGGTATATTAAGAGCCTCTTGGCTCCTGACAGATACCACCAAGAATGTGGCGAAGAGTATGAGCCTTGAAGGCAAGATGGCCCTAGGTTCTCTAACTGTGAGACCTTAGGCAAGTATCATAAGTTCTTGAAGACTTAGGCTCACTATCTGCAAAATGGGGATAATAATACTTTCCTCATAGAATTGTTATGATAATTCACTGCAATTGTGAATGGAAAGTATATAACAGAGTATCTGGGACATAGTAAGCACTCGATTACGTCCACTATTTTTGTTGCTAGAATTATGAATAAGTATCTCTAAGAATGGAGCCTCCCTTAGCAGTATAACCAGTATCCTAGCAAGGTAGAAACAAGCTTGATAATCTCTGTTGAAGTGCGCAGAAAGCACAGTGACTTATGCAGGGTCACAGCTGAGCACACGAAATAAGAATCAATTATAGTTCATCTTTCATTCATTCACAGTTTAAAATGCTCAACCTATATAGGAAATGTATTTTGTATATTGTTTTTCTAGCATTTTTTTTCTTGAGAATGTTTTTGAAAAGCAATTTAGAATAGTACATTCTTGTGCTCGCTTTGGCAGCACGTATACTAAAATTAGAATAGTACATTCTTAGAGTTAGGAAGGAACGTTCACAGAAGTCACATAGCCGGACTTTTTCCAACTTGGGAAATATTTTTTACAAGCATCTCCCAAACCCCACCCCTGGCAAATGGTGAATAAAGTTGTGCTCAAATAATTGCAGCTACAGGGAATTCATGGCTTTGGAAGACGGCCTTTGCAAAGTACTACAGACTTCTCATGGTCAGTTCTTTCTTCCCAAAACTATCTGCACCAACATCAGAAGTCTGCACTCGATGGACAAGACTCTAGATCTCATGATAGCTGAGCCCAAGTTGCTGGCTCACTGCCATATCCACAGGACCTAGTGTCTTGGAACCTAGTGGACAGCAAGAGATATTTGTTGGACGGATGGATGGATGGATGGATAGATGGATGGATGGATGGATGGATGGATGGATGGATGGATGGATGGATGGATGGACATGTGGATGGGTAGATGAGTGGGTAGATAGACAGATGGGATGTCCTCTCTGTGTACTATATAATAAGTTATACATATTTATTTCTCCATTATTCTGAGTCCAAGGCATGCAGTAATGCACTTCTATCTAAGTTAAGATTTCATGTGAAACAATTACAGAACTGTAGCCATCCTAAAACCCATAAACTACCCTAGGCTCGAGTGTCAGCACTAAAACTCTGCTTCAAAGTGAATTACCTGATTACAGGAGTATGAGAAGCAGTCAGATGAAAAACAGTGTCATGCATTTTCACACACTAAGAAGTACCTCAGAGATAATTATTAAGAATTACATTCATTTCCAAATGTTGGCTTCCTTTCTTTAATCTTTAACAATATATAACCTGTCATGTATTTTTAACTTAATACAATGCCTAAGACCTTAATAGAAAAGTATGGAATTTGGAATTAAACCCAAGGACAGACTTTAGATAGAATCTGTTTATACTTCCTCAAAACATACATTTATTCATTGACAACACGGTCTCTTTCTCACATCAAGTCATTGGATTTATCAACTGTTACATCTGAGAAGAATAAGATTGTTAATACTGTTTATATTACTTATAAATAAATAAGTGCATTTGCTTTTATTAATAATAAGGCAAGTTAGTCTGTTCCAAATTTATCGTGTCACATCTTGCATTGTTTTCTTTCTCTTTTGCAGAATTTCATTTGCTAAAACTTTTGAGTGCCCAATGACTGATGTATTGTTTTCTTCACAGGAGGAGGGGAGAAGCTTTAGGTACCTGGTACCCAGCAGAGTTATCAGTGGAATTTCTCCAAGTGACAAAGGGCTGGATGAGGGGTTCCTTGCTGGTACAACCAGGTCACAAGCCTAAGACGGCTTGACGGGTGTGGCTGGCTCCCTCCCCAGGGCCTGCTCATTTTCCGATCTGGGCTTTGCTGGCCAAAGCTGTGCTCCTTCTCCTGGCTCTCTGCAGGACCTCAGGCTCCAGGAATTTGGACCGAGTGGTAGAGACATCGCCGGCAGAGACGGCAATTGCCAGCTTCCTCCTTGTGCTGTCTTGTGATTCAAAACAGATTCTGCTCCACTGTTTAAAAAGGGGAGCACATTACTGCTGGAGACCCACAAGAACAGAATCAAGCAAGAAAACGCAACAGTCTGATACAAGAGTCCGTGAGTAAGCAGCTCATCCACAGTGAACCTTGGCAGGGAAGTGGTCAAGGGGAGCCCAGACACATAAAGGTCTGATGGCTGAGTACCTTGGTGGGAGGTGATGGAAGCTATAAGAGCACTGAGACTTGGTCATTTCACAAATGACCCTGGGCCTCCAAACACACACACAGAAAGACACCCACATCCCCGCCGCCACACACACACGCATGTCTCACCTCTACAGAACGCAGTCATCCAAGCACTGCCTTTGTGCTTGGCTGCAGGAAGGAAGAGCTGGAAAAAAAGAGGATGCTTTTCATCTTAAGACTTTATCTGAGGTGTTTACACCATTGAGCCCAGTGGACTTATTTGCAAACTTCTGATAGGAAGTTACTTTGAACTGAATCTCTCTCACATCAATCTTGTCTGATGCCAAAGTCAGATGACTTAGCGAAAATGGCTGCAGGCTCTATGTGTGGCACAGTCGTTGAAACCACTTTTTACTTTGCCTTTCACTTCTTTGTATTAATTTCCAGCTAAGCTCTCTCTTTCTTGGAGGGGAACATTTCTGTGGTAGGAGTTATGTTTGTATAATTCTGCTCTCTGTGAAAGTACTCTCTTTAATATAATTCACATCACGAGAATTCTGATATCCTAGGTATGATTAGCTCATGTGGTTTCAGGTGCATTGATATTCTCAGTATTTTATATATCACTCATAGAAGACCAGGACTTAGTCATGGGCCTGTTCCCTTATCCGTGTGTGTTTCTTAAGTGATTCACTGAGCTCTCTCAACCTCATCGTCTCTATATTTGAAATATAATAACAGCTACCTTGTAAGGTTGTTGTAATGTTAACTGAGAAAATACAAAGTCCTTTTTAACGTAGTGTATGATTTATTATTGATGGTAGACATGGCACAGCCATAAGCTGTCTAGGCACCAAGGAAAATGAGTAGGGTGTACCTCTGACATTTCTTTTTCAACATTATGGTTTGCTTCTGATCTGACCAAGGCCTTGCCCAAGGTCACACATCCAGTAAGGGACAGAAGCAGACCTATAGTCCAGGCCTTCCAACTCATGGTTTGCTTTCACAGAGAGTGTTTCTAATGCAGACACAACAGGATGCAGTAAAGCAGCTGGGAGTGGGGTGGGACCGGGGCTGGGTAACCAAGACTGCTAAATGAACACTCCCTCTCTAGCCAATCTTTCAGCCCCTGAACACAGAGCCCCGCTGTCCCCATTCCAGGCAGCATGTGACAGTCTCTGGCCTCGCGCTGACCTCTTTCCTCTGAACTGCAGGACCCCAATTCCTCCTTCACTCCTGCCTCTGTGGAGGAAACAGCGACCTCCATGAGCACTTGACCTTGCTGAAGACAGAGTTTGCACTCCGCCTTTACCAGAGTGTGGCAGCAGACAGAAACGGAACAAACATTGTCATTTCTCCCTCCGGGGTGTCTATTCCTCTGGAGATCCTGCAGTTTGGAGCCCAAGGAAACACTGGCCGGCAGCTGGCGGAGGCCCTGGGTTACACCATCCATGGTAAGAGGCTGATCGCTCTCCTGCTCACACTCATACTCACACTCACTCTCACCATTGCTTTCACACTCAGGCCCCCTTGGAAGATGGGGAGCTCCCAGCTACCAGGAGTGGGCACCTAGAGAACGGTGACCACGTGGCAGGAATGTAGCAGAAAGCATTTAAACTTTGGATCGTGGTGACCCTTGATGATTTTTAAGGTTCCCTTTTAACTTCAGGTTCTATGGCAATTTTTCAGTTTCATTTCACAAGCCCTTTGACAATGCTTACTAGGTGCCAGGCCATGTTCGAAGTACCTCGCAAATATTAATTTAATTAATTGTCACAACAACCCTATTGAGATAGTTAATTACAACATCATCCCTATTTAGTTAATTACAACAACAACCCTATTGAGATAGTTAATTACAACATCGTCCCTATTTAGAGATGAGTAATAGGCACAGAATTTAAGTAACTTGCCCAACGTCACACAGCTAGTGAGTGGCAGAGTTGAGACTCAAGCCCAGACTGTCTGGCTCCAGAGCTCACGCCCTTAACCAAACTTCTTTCACTAATTTGTGACTTCTAGCCCATACCATGTCTACCAACATATTTCTATGACTGCAGATTTTAGAGCAGCTCTACCAGCACCGACGAGAGTTTCATGAATGCCAGATCAGACACACCTGGCCTACGGTCAAGGCCTCTGGCTTAATGCCTAGTCTTGGTAACAACCTATCAGCTCCTTGCTAACACGGACACTCATCACAGATTTTTTTCTTCTCTATCTTAGAATAAGTTGTCAATAAAAATGACAGGAGTTAAAATTGTGTAAGTTAATATTTTTTTTAAAGTACAAGAACTAATAACAACATAGTCTTGGCAAGAACTTCCTTTGAGCCAGAATCTTGTGGTGGCAAATAAAGGTTAGCACTCAAGATATAGGGCCACAGGCACCAGCTGCGCTTCCTGACCCCCCGCATCCACAATATATCCCTTGCCAAAGCAGTTCTCTTGATCCTGCTGGCTAATACAAACGTGTTTTCTCTCTGAGGATGACTAAAGACAGACATAAGTTATCGAGCTTAATTTTTCTCAGCAAGTGTATCATGGAAATGGACATACCCGTGGAGTTATTCTTCAGCCACATTAGATTCAGTGCAACGCAATTACCAAGTACAAATGAGCTCCTGCTGCACGGGCCAGTGCTATGCCAGGAACTCAGCATCCAGATCTATAAGGAAAACTCTGAGCACCAGCAACCTGGTCTCACAAGACTGATGCACGTAGACATACACTCCAACACAGGGCAGTAACTGTATTTATTTGAAATCAGTTAGTATGCGGTGGGGTTGGGGGGCGGGCTGTGTGTATGGCGGGGGGTGGGGTGATTTATTCCCCTGGCAGATCAGGAAGGCTTCTCAGAAGACATGATGTCTGAACAGGGTTATGAAGAACAAATAGAAATAGGAGAGAGGGCCAGGCATTTCAGCCTAATTTAAAACAGTGTCCAAGAGGTCAGGATTAGGAAGAAAGCGAGAAATGCACGTGTAGCTAGCTATCCCACAGAGAAAGGAGATTGATCATCGTCAATTCTCCATTGTCAGGTACCTGGTTAACCAAATTTGATGATTACCAATGTCAAGAATGCTTAATAGTCAAACTCTGTGAACATATCCCACCTTTTTTTCTTACTCATAAACTGCTTTATTATCTTATGCGGTCATAGTTAATTATTATCAACGAGAATGTGCTGCTTAGAGTTCTCGCTAATAGACTATCCCTGCAGTTTGGTTTGCCCCAAGACGGCTCAGAGAATCATGTGTGTGCTGCTTAAAACAACCCACCAGGTCCCCACCACCTGCCCTGGCCCAGTCTTCTTTTCCAAGTCAATATAGACCAATAAAACACGAGTAAAAAGCAGCATCAAAGCACATCCTGGGGTCTGTGGAATTGTTCCTATTTAATCAACAGAAAGATCAATCCAAGTTTGCAGTGGGACACATTAGCACTATCTTCTTCTCACTGCGTTTCTAGCCAATATGTGACAATCAGGAACTTTGCCAGGATTTCTGCATGCTGGTCAGACAAGCACAGCCTGAGATTCAGAACAGACACCTGTGCTGTCCCCAAAGAGTATCTTTGTTTTCACCGCATGAAATACACAATTTCTCAATGTTCTCATTTTTAAGAATTTTCATCATTTTCCCAGGTAAATTAGTAAAGAACACTTTGCAGCTTTCTATCGAGCATAAGAACGCCGCTAGGAATAGAGGCCTCAGAGATGGAGATGGCCTGACCCCTGGGAGAGAATTCTGTTGGATATGTGTGTGGATTTCACTTTTACAGTCATTATGTCATTTGATCCTCAGAGAAACCACATGCAATCCCTAGGCCTCCATTAATAATTCCCATTTTACAAAGGAGACAAGAAGTTATTGATTTGGCAAGACTCAGCTCAGCCAGCGTGCAGGTGGTGGAGCCAGGATTCAAGTCCCAAATTCTCTGACTCCAGATCCTATAGTCTTTCCACAATTCCCCACTCTAAGCCACTGAGTAGTTGCATGAATATAGATACAGCTTGCCTTCTCCGGTTTTCACCAGAGGTCCTTATTACTCTCTCACACCAACCAACCCCTTTAGACATCATCCTAAATCTAACCCTCTTTTTATTTCCAGACAATCAAAATATCAGCATCACAATAATGGTTTTCATAGTTGGGGAATTTATGCATATTGACCTTACAAAGTCAGAACCCATCAAACGCAGTGTCACATTCAGAAGGTCACTTCAGCAAATGTATTAAAATGGAAGGCCCTCTCCATGCTGGCCTCACAAATGAGTTAAAAGGCTGGTCTGCAGCAAGACCCATGAAAATACCATTTCTTCTTCTAGCACTTTCCTCTCACTCTGCACCGGTCCCAGGGACCCTCTCCTCAAACTCCTTACACCTCCCCGTGACACTCCTGACCCACTGCAGCCCCCATGGTTTTCCTTCCTCTGCCTCCCTCCCTGCTCAGAATTTTAGTAGAACCACCTCAGCCCTGTCCAGCGAGAAAGATGCTCCTGCTCCCCCCGCCACCCCCCACCCAGGAGCAGGGGGCAGGAAGAAGAAAGCCCTACATGGCAGATTTCTCTTTCAAGTGCTGCAGTCAACGAGCTGTGTCATAGCTCACATCAGTCTCCTTTGCCCTGTCACTGACAAGGACCTAGAGAATGCATGGCAGTGAAGCAAAATCGAAGGCTTTGTGTTCCATGGGGCTTTGCGCCCGCGTTCATCCCAAGAGGAAAAGACCTCCCAGGCAGGGCAGTAGAGTGCTCCCAGCCACCTGTCCTTCACCTGTGGGCAGGAGGACAGTGAAGCATCCCCTCCCACCACCCTGATACGGAGCAAGTTTATTCACTTGCCTGAGCCCAGCTCCCTCGTCTGTGAATGGAGATCATAATAGTGCTTAATTCTCAGGGTTGTTGAAAGGATTAAATGTGATCATGAGTGTAGAGTGTTTGGCACGGTCCGGGAACACCGTCAACCATCACCACTTTTTTTTCCCATGGTGCTATCCCGGCAGCGTCTAGGAAATCGCTTCCTGTGCGCAGATGGGCAGGGACGGACTAGGCTCAGGTGGAGAAAGAAAGCTAAAGCTACTCTAAAGAGTCTGGCTGTAAGAATGGCTGGTCCCTGGCCCAGAGAGGGTGAGAGTACAGGAGGAGGGTTGTGTGAGCATCCCCAAGGCCGCCCTACAGTGTGGACTGCTGGGATGACCGATTCGCCCCTGCAGGCAGTCCGCACTCGACAGGAACAGGATTCTCTAAGTTCGTAAGACCTTCCTCCTGATTTTAAGTTTGTTTGTTTTTTTTTTTTTCATTCATTTCTTTTCTCACTAAAACAAAAGGCAAGCATTCAAGTTTATAATTCATGAGATATATATCCTGAATTTGCTGTTTACAGTTGTAGATTCTAAGAAGCAGCTTTGGTAGTAAAGTTTTATGGACAAGTGAAATCTGTTCACAGCTGTGTTCCACAACTGGTGGCCAGGGTCTATTCCGGGTGTCCCCCAGAGAATTTTGGCCAGGCAAGTCGGGGGTCTGCGGCTGCCTCCTGGCCTCACCTCCGAGACATGAAGGGTGTTGGAGTAGATAGACCCCCAAGCCAGGTCACAGACACATCCCAAACGGGTGTCCCGAGAAAACCAGCCGGGGCAGGGTAGTACAGGAAGAGGGTGCAAATCGTGTATCTCAAAGGGATGATTTGTAGACAGACACAGGGCTGTGCCTAGGAGGAAGGCGACGGTGACAAGCAAAGGCCAAGGCCATGTTCCAGAGCCAGGGCCTGACTGCTGAAAATCCCCAGCCTGCATGTGTCAGAAGCAGGAAGCTTAGATACTCAGCTGCGTTCTTAGCAGTGGGTGAGGTCTCGCTCCAGCTACAGATGCCTAGGGGAGAATAGAAGCCACAGAGGTGAATGACAGAGTCCAAAAGAAATCCACTATTAATTATGGAAAGAAAGAAGCAATCTCCTTTATAAACAATAAATAAATAGAAGTCCAGCTGCCATCCAAGAAGGTGGAAACTATCGACTCTCTCAAATGCTTATTATTTCCTCAACTTTCTTGCAGGCTCTCGCTGACAATAACAGAGTTGTCCGCTGGGTTTTAGGGAGTGGGGGAGGGGAGGTGTTCTTACCTTTCCTCTGTGTTCCTCCAATTGAAAGCACAGTCCTGAAAGAGGCTGCACCCAAATGTCACTCAGGCTTGTGAAGTGCAGCCGGGAGGATGGATTTAGGCCCTGTACAAGACAGATTGACCATCTGACACCCTGGCCACCGTCCGTTACTGTTACTTACAACTTTCCCCATAAACTGGTTGACTTCGTAAATATTTGAAGCCCCATCACTCTGTGCACCAGACCCACAGCTTTCCCAGCCCTCTCTACTCTAGCACTACTCAACATTTCTGAATCAAGAAGTAAAGGAAAAATCGTCTCTGGCATGTCCACAGTGTTTTTCTGTTCATCTTAGTCACAGCCTGATTTCTTTCAGATTTAACACCACTTTCCTCGCCCTTCAACTTTTAATCTATGGATCCAGGCTAATTCCTGAGCGATTTAGCTATGACTTTACCAAACTAACTGTATAGGGTAGATGAACTTTATAAAACAAGAGTGGAGTTGCTGGGGCCCCATTTTAATGCAATATGCAAATGGAGACTTGCTCACTCCCTACTCACGCCACTGTCAATTTATCCAAATGCCTCCCTCACAGACCGAACAGTGAGAGACTTCCTGCACGCTGCTTATGCCACGCTACCCAGTTCCAGCCAAGGCACCAAGATGGAGCTGGCCTGCACCCTTTTTGTGCAAGCGGGAACGCTGCTCTCCTCCTGCTTTGTGGAGCAGGTCTCCTGGTGGCCCAACTGCAGCCTGGAGCCAGCCAACCTCAGCGAGCCCAACAGCGCCACCGTCCAGGACAAGGAGTGGGCCTCCAGGCAGAGCACAGGTAAGAGAAAACCATCCATCTCAATGAGGCTAACGTCAGATGGCTGTAAAGAAAGAATACCACCCATTACTTGTCAGAAGCCATGCAGATGGGCCGCCCTCCACTGCAGCTGAAGTTTGTCCTCCTGGGAGACCCTACCCTGATTTACAAATTCCCTGTCTCAGCTCATTGTGCTATCAGGGGGCCAAGGTCACAGTTAGCTGCTCTCGACTCCGAGGCAATTGTCCTCTAAGAAAAAGGAGCAGTTGGTGTAGCTGTGCAGAGTCAGGCCAGGCTGCTTGGGTTCAGATCCAAGATTTCTATCTTGGGCAACTGGGCTAATGGTGGCTTTGCTGCTGATAGTACGTGACTTTGGACAACCTCTCCAAGCCTTGGTGTCCCTATCTGTAAAACTGGGAATAACAATAGAATTGGGGGAAGGAGTTGGTGAGGACGTATTCAAGCATTTAGAACAGAGCCTAACACAAAGTATGCATTTATTAAATAAATAAAAGGCTGGAGAAAAAATTGTCCCTTGAGGAGTGGTCAGCCTGCTTCTCTCTGGAGAGATTTTAATTTAAAGACCATTCCCTGGAAGTTTTTGTCTATGCAAAGGCTCTGCTAAGGATGGGGCTTAGCGGCTGGGGAGATGGGGGTGAGGTGCGGTGGGTAACACTGCGCAGCATCTCCCAGCACAGCACCCAGCCCCTCCCAGGGGTCTGCCTGAGCCGTGCGTGCCTAACGCTTCCTAGGAAACGGCCCCAGGTGGAACCAGCTAGAGCATCCCGACCTGTTCAGAAAAGAATTAAACCTTGGCCTTCAGCAACAACTAGTTATAAAGGCGATTCTGCAACTAATAGGTACTAACAAGCAGGCTACAACCTGACTTCGGGAATGCCTCAGCACCCTCCAGAGCATGCACACAGGTGTCACCACATAGTCGCTTTCCCGCTTGCAGGTTTGGGCCCAGGGGACTCGACGTGGGACCAAGGCAGCGCAGCATTTGCTCAGCTGGTGCTCGTAAGCACCCTGTCTTTCCAAAGCACTTGGTGGCAGAGATTCTCCTCCATGGACACTCAGCTCCTGCCTTTCACCTGTGCACAGGGACGTGTCCTCCAGGTCCCCATGATGTACCAAATGGCCGAGGTCAACTACGGTGAGTTTCTTCCCTGCCAGCCAGGGGTCTAAAGTGGAGAGACCTCGGAAACAATGTGGCCGGGAGGGGAGACCAGGTCTCTGCTCTTAAAGCATTGAGCTTTTTCTGTGGTTCCCTCTGCCGTGCGGTGTGTGGAATAAAGATGAGGGAGCCGGGAGACTCACAGAGGACAGCGAGGAACCAGATGGGGAGGAGAACCCCATTTCATGCTTGACGTTTCCCTCTGCACTTCGTAAATGGAGGAGTTAGTGTGAAATCAAAAATGTTTGGACCAAACTCCCTCCCCTGGCAGGTAGTCCCATAAAATGAACTTCACTGTGTGGTGCTGAGAAAGGATGGAAGATTGAGAGTTGTGTCTAAAAGGCTCTCGAAAGCATGTCCACATGGAAGGGGCCATGGTCCTGACATGCCACCGTTCTGTCTGTCCACCCTGCCTGGTGGTCACTCATCCTGGTCAGGGGTGGTATGTGATGCCAGTGAGTGCTGGGGAGCCCCGTCTGGCAGACTGGTGTGTGGCGTGGACAGTTCAGTGGGGCCCAGCAGGCAAGGGAGAAGGCACCCCACCGCCCTGCCCCTCACACCTCCTGTCACTCATTTGCGGGCTCAGCCCCTTCTATTTTGTGTGACTAATGATGGTCTCACCTAAGAAAAAGCCAGTGAGACTTAAATCATTGTTTTAGGAACTTTGACATTTAGAAAACTTGCTATCGTTCTACTTTGATTCTGTGCAAGACACATTGTGAGAGCTCACTGAACTTATTCATTTGTTTATTCGACTAGTAATTATTACCAGAGGTCAAGTAAGATGGGACTGGAACATCTATTAAATAAGTAAATATACATTTACAATATACTACAGTTCTTGTTCTAACACCTGCCCATTGCTGCTGTGCCCTGTGCTGGATGAGCTGTCAGCCGTAGGACAGCCAGTGGCTCTTGAAGCTCTTATTCCTCCCAGCGTGCCCTGCACAGTGACTGGCACATAATAGAGGCTGAGCAACTGTTGATTGGGCAGATAAAGTATAGAGTAGGAACCATGCCCCTGTCTTTCCTCACTGAGCCTAATATTTTACCTTAGTGACCAGCCAGCTCCACTGCCCCCCGGCACTAGGGCCCAGGACTCGCTGTCCTCCCAGGAAGGAATTGTGCCTGGAGCTCCCCAGAGGCTGCTGGGTCTCCCCACCCTGCCTGGATTGCTCCATATTACTTGTCCTCCTTGCCCCATCACTGGGTCTGGACGCTGCCTCTGTTTTCACCAGGGACACTTGCTGGGTCTCCCTGTCTCTGGCCATTTGTGTCTGCTGCCGCCTCTCCCATCACATGCTTCTGAAATCATGCTCTGCCCAATGAGCTGGACTTGTCCTTGGTCAGCCATTGCCATTGCCCACAAGTTCCCAGCTGTTCAGCCTGAGACCTATTTGTTTATGCCACAGGGTACAAATTATCTGCCCCCAGGTTAGATCCAGCCTGGAATCATGTTGTATTAGGCCTATGTAGTGTTTTAAAAATTGGGAAGTTGCATATGACATCTGGGTTTACGGCTTCATTAAAAAATAAGATCTGGCACAAAGAGCCTGCGTCCCCACATGGCTACAATCAGCCAGGATTGGAGCAGCTGCCCCTTTAAGACAAGGTCTATGGTTCTCCCATGTGTCATTGTCCCCATCATGCCCAGCCACTGCAGGTCCTGTGACTCAAGACTTGTGAATGTATCTTAGAGATTCTAGGTCCTAATATCAGAAAAGGTGACCACAGTACCCAACAACCTTTGACCTCAAACCTTTGGCCTCAGCCTTTGGCTTCCTGAGAGTGAGGTGGACACCCTCTTAATGACATGTATTATTTCCCATCCTGCGAGCTGGCCCTTTCCAGAGACTGGCACTGTTTGGTCCCCCTGGCTCCCGAGACAGATCTAATACCCCATTCACTGAACTTCCAGGCCAGTTCCAGGACCTTGTGGGTCATAAGATGGGGGTGCTGGAGCTGCCTTACCTGGGAAGTACAGTGAGTCTGCTCCTGGTGCTACCTCGTGACAAAGACACCCCACTGAGCCACATTGAGCCACACCTCACAGCCAGCATCATCTCTCTCTGGTCTTCCAGCCTGAGGAGAGCCAGGATGCACGTGTTCCTGCCCAGGTAAACAGCGTATCATCCTTGCAGGGTGCTCTAAGGCGTAATCGAGCTGGCCAGGCCTGGGTTAGAGAACCCAGGTGGTATCACTCCAGGGTCTGTCCTGAACCACTTGGCAAGCTTGTCTACTGTACCCCTCGAGGTTAGGCCAAGCGGGAGTTAACCTAGAGTTTCAATCCATTTCAGAATCACTGCCGACTAGCTCATGACACAGACTGAAAGGAACTAATTTTCTGGGGTGTTCTCAAGAGGAGGTATCATACCTTCACTGGACCATACTAGAGCCCCCAGGTCTCCACTTCAGCTTCATGTCACAAGCAGTTGTCTGGGCAGGGAAAGAAGGGCAGTGCACTGACCTTGGAAGAATGTACCCCAAATCTTATCACATCCTAAGAGTATTCAACTGTCATTTGTCCAAAACCAAGAAGGTAAGATAGCTTACATAATTGAACGAATACAGATATAATTCTAATCAGAAGGCAAATTAAGGCACTAAGATTTAAGACTTTAAGTCTCTGTGCTAAAGGTTTCCTTCTTTCGCCTCTAAGTAAACAGAGTGAGACTTTCTTGTACTCAATAGGTACAAATATAATTTATTTAAAAGTTAAATGATGGTGTTAGATTTTGCTTTCCCCAAGCAAATCCTATTTGTAAAACTCATTATTTTACAAAAGATCCCTCACTGAACATCTTTAAATGATAAGCTTCTCCAATACATTGGAATCAGAGTAGATTTATAATGTAGACCAGCATTAAGTGGGGACTGTTTTCTGAGGGCTCATTTTCGGCATGTGGCTTCTTCACGGTCCTTCTCACTGGCCGCTTGGCCTCCTCTACTGTCCAGGCTCTCAGCAGTGCAGAGCCAGAGGCTTTGGCAGTGCTCCCTTGAAGAGTTAAAAATAAGTCCAGGCACTGGAATAAAAACGCATAAAGAAAGACCCAGTAAGTTAAGAGCCACGGTCTGAAGTGACATCTGCTATAGCCAGAGCAGAAGGTGAACTTAACTCTACGATAAAGCCTGTCTCTCCAAACCAAATCAAAGCACGAAGACACTAGCTATTTCAGCAGACCTCTCTGGCATAGAGCAGAAGCATTTTCTTCATATCAGAAGTGATATATGTGTTTTTAAAATCCACCAGATCTCATAGTTCCAGAGTGAATTTTGCCCCTTCCTTCAAGGAGCTGTTGATTAATCACCATGCGTGTGGTTTGTGCTTTTCTAAGGAAGTTTTCTTTTTTTTTTTTAAAAAAAAAAAAAAGAGATTCAATTCACATACCATAAAATTTATTTTTTTAAATGCAAAATTTAGAAGTCTAGTATATTGGCAAAGTTGTGCAACCATCACCACTATCTAATTCCAGATCATTTTCATCACCTCCAAAAAAAAAAACTCCATACCCAGTAGCAGTCATTCACATTCCCCCACTCACAGCCCTAGGCAGCCACTAATATACTTCCTTTATGGATTTGTCTATTCTGGACATTTCGCATAAATGAAATCATACAGTGTGGCCTTTTGTGTCTGGCTTCTTCCACTTAACATAGTGTTTTCAAGGTTCATCCTTATTGTAGCATATATTAGTACTTCATTCTTTTTATGGCTGAATAATATTCCATCATATGAATATACTACATTTTGTTTATCCCTTCATCAGTTTATAGACATTTAGGTGCCAAAACACTTTTGACTTGTTTCTACTTTTTGGCTTCTACAAACATTCATGTGCACATTTTTGTGTAGATGTATATTTTCAATTATCTTGGGTAATATCAAGAAATGGAATTGTGGGGTCAAGTGTTAACTACATTTTTACTCTGAGGAACCACTAGACAGTTTTTTCAGGGGTTGCAGTATTTTACATTCCTACTAGCAGTGTATGAGGGTTTCGGTTTCTCCATATCCTTCTCAGCACTTGTTATTGTTTGCCTTTTTCTTTTAAGTCCCTCTTCGTATCTAATGTACAGAGTTTCTGCTTGGCATAATAAAAAGGTTCTGAAGTGAATAGTGGTGATGATTGGACAACAATGCAACAATGCACTTAATGCCACTGAATTATACACCTAAAATGGTTTAAATAGTAACATTTAGGTAGTGTATATTTTACTACAAGTTGTTAAAGTTTTTCATGGAGAGAAGAGACAAGGAAAGAGGACAAAGACTGCCTCCCAAATAATGAATTAAAAGGTAGGGATTATAATAAAGCCTCCATTCAGGAACCGTAATTATTCTTGATTCTGTTAGAATACATTCACCTTCTCTGTCCTCCAGCAATGCCCTTCTCTGTACATTGGCTTCCTCTTCAGGCTGGAGGCAACATGGTTGCAACCCATCTGACCTCATAAGTGTGTGTAACAACAGCTGTAGGAAAAGAAAGCCTTCTTTTTTTTTTTTTTTTTTTTTTTGCATTATAGCCATCCTAGTCAGTGTAAAATGATATCTCATTGTGACTTTCATTTGCATTTCCCTAATGGCTAATGATGTCAAGCAAATTTTCATGTGCTCATTGGACATTCGTTTATCTTTTTTGGAGAAATATCTATTTGAATCCTTTGTTCATTTTTAAATTGGGTATTTGTCTTTTTATTGTTAGTTATAATAGCTTTTTATATATTCTGGATACCAGTCCTTATTAGATATATTATTTGTAAATATTTTCTCTCATTTTGTAGGCTGTCTTTTCACTTTGTTGATGATGTCTTTTGAAGCACAAAAGTTTTTAATTTTGGTGAAGTTCAATTAATCTATTTTTTTCTTTTTTCTTGTGTTTTTGTTATGTAATAGCTAAGAAACTACTGCTTAACCAAAGATCTATGTCTATGTCTTTTATCTAAGAGTTTTAGCTCTTATATTTAGGTCTTTGATTCATTCTGAATTAATGTTTGTATATGGAAGGAGGTAGAGATCTAACTTCATTCTTTGCATGTGGCTATGCAGTTGTCTCAGTGCCATTTATTGATACATCCCACTGGATTTTCTTGGTACCCTTGTCAAAAATCAATTGACCATAAATGTTTGAGTCTATTCCTGGACTTTCAATTCTATTCTATAGGCATAAATGATACTTTTGCCACTACCACACAGTCACTGTAGCTTTTTAGTATGTTTAGAAATTAGGAAGTGTGAGTCCTTTAACTTTACTTTTTATGAAGATCATTTTGGCTATTCTGGGTCCCATGCATTTCCATAGGAATTTTAGGATCAACTTTAGTTTGTCAAAAAGACAGCTGAGATTTTGGTAAGGATTCTGTAGAATCTGTGGATCAATTTGGGGGATATTGCTTCTAACATTATTAAGTGTTTCAACCTATGAATACAAGATTTTTCATTTTCTTTAATTTTTTTCAAAGATGTTAGTTTCTAGTGAAAAAATTTGCACTGCTTTTATTAAATTTATTTCTAAATATTTCTACATATTTTATTCCTTTTGATGTTATTATAAATGGGTTTTCATTTTTGGATCATTCTTTGCTAGCATAGAGAAACAGTTGATTTTTATATCTTGATCTTATGTCAAGTCACCTTGATGAACTCACTTAGCTCTAAGTGTATAGGGGATTCCTTAGGATTTTCTACATATAAGACCACGTTATCTGTGAATAGAGATAGATTTACTTCTTCCTTTCTAATCTGGATGCATTTTATGTCCCTTTTTTCTTCTTTCATAATTGCCCTGTATTCCCCCCAGTACAAGGTTAAATGGAAGAGGTGGGCATCCTTGACTTGTTCCTGATCTTAGGGGGAAATCATTTGGTATTCACCATTAAGTATGATGCTAGCTGTGAGTTTTTTGTAGATGCCCTTTTTTGGTTGAAAAAGTTCCTTTCTATCCCAAATTTGTTGAATGGCTTTTGTTTTTGTGTTTATGAAATGGTGTTGGATTTTGTCAAATGTTTTTTCTGCATCTGTTGAGGTGATCGTGTGGCCTTTGTCTTTTATTCTATTAATATGGTGTCTCTCATTGATGGGTTTTCATATATGGAACCCACCTTGCATTCCTCGGGTAAATCCCACTTGGTTCTAGTATGATTTATATGTTGCTGGATTCAATTTGCTAGTATTTGTTGAGGATTTTTGCATCTACTCATAATGAATATTGGTCTGTAGTTTTCTTGTGATATCCTGGTTTTGGTAAAGAGTGTTTTTTTAACTCTGGACATTTTCGTAGCATTTCTTCTGGACCGACCTTCATAGCCACACCTTACTTTTACTATTATCATAACTTACTTTTACTATTATCCTTCATTACTAAAAACATTACCCAGTTTTATCAACTACATCAATTGCCATGTTTGGCTTCAGACATCCCATAGCTCTTTCTCAATATCATTGAGAAAAAATAAAACCACAAGGGTAATGATAAAATGTGTGAGCTGAGCTGGGCATTGTTCTGACCACGTTGCATGCATGATTTCACTTAATTTTCACAAAGATAAGAACTAAACACTACTAGGCTTGTTTCACAAATGAGGAAACTGAGGCCAAAAGAGGTAAAGTAACTTGTCCCAGGTCCCTCAGCTAATAAGAAGCTGAGCCAGGAATCAACCACGAGCACTGGAGTCCCAAGATCGTGCTCTTAACCACTACTTCTCAGCATTAAGGGTCTTCAAAAGATGTGTTTTAACTATTTAAAAATTTTCAGAAGAGGCAATCAAAAATTGTTTTGAGAAATGTCAGCATCGACTTGAAGAAAGCATGTACCTTCTTTTGGAAACTATTCTGAAGATCCAAAACATCCATTTATGAAAAAATCTGATACTTTTGTACTGGTAACATTGCCTCACATGGCAATGAAGATCTTTGATATTAAATGGTCTTGTCCAGTATTTTTACTCTCCTAAAAGTTCTGCATGGTTTAGAGAAAAAGAGTATCTAAATTCCATTTTGAACTTTTTTTATTTTCAAAGAAAAATAATTTCAAAATTCCTTTTAAAGATGCTCAATGGTAAAATTTTAGATACTTTGCCCTTGGGAAAATATTGCAAAGTTAGTATGCTAATTCTTTCTCCTCTCAGGACTTACTGGGAAAACCAAAGCTTTAACTTGTATTTCTTCTCTGCTGTGCGTCAAAGGCACACACTACACACAGCAAACACGAAAATATGTCTTAGCAAATGAATATAAACATATTAAATGAGACAGTCTATTAATTATCAGTCAGTCAACAACTTCTCCGCACCTACTCTGTGTGAGATGCCACACGAGATGGGAGGCAGCAAAGCGTAGAAGGCAAGCTCTGCACTCAGACAACCTCGGTTTGAGTTGAGCTCCACCGTGCTCTCATTATGTCATCTTGGGCAAGTTTCTTAAACTCTTTAAAGCCTCAGTTTCTCATCTGTAAAATGAGGATAATAATAACATCGTTATGCGAACATGAAACAAAATAATCCACATAAAATACTTTTCTTAGTGCTTAGCACATGAAAATCACTCAGTAAATATTAATTATTAGGGAATAAAAAGTTGAGATGGATTGCCTCCTATCTCAAGTAGTTTATAATATAAGTAACCATAATAGGAAATGTTCTATACATCAAATGAGTAAAACAAAGTGTAAATGGGGCTTTAATAACCAAAGATCACAAAACAGCTGGAGAGGAGGGGATAACAATTGAATTGGGCTTAGAGAAAAAGTTAATAAATCAAAGACAATCAAGGGAGATGGAGGACACCTGGGAAGAACAGCCGATGCAAAGGTAAAGAGGAGAGATTAGATTATTATGGTTAGGTTATTCAGAGAGTAGAGTTTACGGGAAGGACCAACGAAAGATAAAGCCAGAAATGATCCCGGAGAACCCTTACTTCCAACTTGAGAGTTTGGTTGTATATATGGTGTGTATAAAAATATGAATAAGAATTTTAAGTAAAAGTTGATGGTTTGTTTTTGTTTTTTTTTTAGATTTAGGATCCAAAATCATTACAACTTAAAAAATATTTTAAATTCTTGGGGAGTCACCGATCTTTTTGATCCACTCAAAGCTAACTTGAAAGGAATTTCAGGTAACGACAGTTCTTCCAAGCTTTTTGTCATTGTGTTTGTAGGAAGTTTTCTAATTCGATTAAAGGATTCTCATTATTTTTACAGAATTTTCAGTGGTAATCAGCCAAAGTTAACATTATTTAAAAGAATAAAGAAAGTGCTTTGCATTACATAAGAATTTGTTGCTTCTGAGAACAGTTGAATTGGGGTTACACTTTGCAGAGGAAGGGTGTTTCTTGAAACCTCTAAGTATCATTTTCGGAGATCACCTTCAGAGTGAGTTCAATGACCATAGGACACACTACAACTCACCTTCCCTCTGCCCATCGTGACCAGGAGCATGCCAGAGATATTGGTGCAACAACACAGTTCTTGATTCTGACCTCCCACTCTCATGCCAGCCTCACCATCATCCTGTTTCTCTCTCCCTCCCTGTACCTACTCTGTCCTCTTCTAATGAGCCAACCTTGAAACTTTCCCTCATCCATCTAACTTTTCTTCAAATTACCTATGCATGTATAATCTTGCCCTAAAATAATCTCCTTCTCAGAGTCTGTATTAAATTTCTTTGCCCATAGTAGACATGCTACTACTAATCAATAAGAGCTGTGTTTGCCTATGATTTGACAGGGACGTACATCAAATATTAAAAGAGAGTGGAATGCCAGAGCCTTACATTCCAGAATCCTCTCAGGAGACCATTAGCTAAACTATTGCCAACTCCAAAGGCTCAGGTTTATTTCTGTTCTACATAGAAGTAAATTATCTGTACAAAGATGACACTACCACAGGCATATCCATTGGCCTTGACATTTTCCTTGCCCAGTGAGCTTGAGAGTCTCTATTTTGAATGCTAGAACCTCATAGCACAGAGAGAATTTTTCTAATTCTTAACTCAGAATCAAAGCAATCACAGAAAAAAAAAAAAAAATGGGAGTTTGGTCTGCAAGAAAAGTCTTGGCTTGAACTTTGGATGTGACCAGACTAACGGGCAGAGTTACTTATCAAATATAACACAAGAGGAAGAATCTATTTTAGAGTATTTAAAATCAACCAACTCTCTACTCATTGCCTAAACATGCAAAGAGATAAACAAAGCAATAGTCAAGTGTATGGACTCAGTGCCTCTGACAATGCTTGGCGCACAGTGGATGCCCACTGAATATTGTTGACTTGGTTGGATGACTCAATCAGAAATTTCCCCTGGTGACACAGGCATAATTTGGCCCTGCAGGGGAAGACTAGAGGGCAAGGAAAGAGCAAAGGATGGAGAACTTGAGTGCATCCTATCATTAATAACATGAAAAATCCAATCGTGGTGTCTTTTTGAAATTCCAGAACTGAGCCATGACATCCCTGTTGTTGAAGGCAGTACCATTGTTCTTTAGATCATTGTGGTTCAGAACTTTGGGGCCGTTTTCGACCTTTTCTTCCACACTACTACATGTAGTTCACTACTAGGACTTACTGATTGTTCCTTCATAGTTCTTAAATCTCTGCCTTTATGTCATAGAAGTACATCTTAAAATGCCATTATCCTGTGTCCTCAAACAGGACAGAGCTTAACCCACACCGTGCGGCTCTCCCATCAATAATGACTTTCGAAGCCCTTAAGCTTGTTTGACAAGATCTAACAATCAACCTAGTTTAAAAAGAATTTTTTTGATACCTAACCTCTTTTATTAAAATGCAATTAAATTCTACTTGTATTTGTTTAAACCACTGGAAATATAGGCTTGTGGATCAGGCTAGGTAAATAATTATTGAGCAGTTAATATGTGCCAAGTATAAAACTTGCATGCACGTTTCCTATTGATAAAACATGCCAGCCTTATAATCTTCTCCCATAAAGTTTTGTTCCTCTAATGTAGGGGTGACAAAATGATGGCCCAACATCTGTTCTTATAAATAAAGTGTTATTGAAACACTGCCACTCCCATTTATTTACAAAGTATCTATGGCTGCTTTCCTGCTCCAATGGCAGAATCGAGCAGTTGCAACAGACACCGTATGGCCCTCAATGGCCAAAATATTTAATATCTGGCACTTTACAGATAAAGTGTGCCAACTAAAATATTGCTTTCCAATAGCTCTTCTTTGAACATAATCAAGAGACGAGTCACTTCTGTGCCCAAGTGTGCTGTTGACTTAATTCTGGAGACATGGCCACTGAATCTCTCTAGCAAATAATTTGTTCCATTATTTCTAAAATAGGCTAGCTACCACCCACCTCACATCTTACTTGTGGAAATGAAATTCTTTAACATATAGCAAAACAGCAGCAGAAAGCTTACCAGAGGGTAAACAATCAGAAAATGCTGGCCTTCCTTCGTATAATTAACGAGAGGTCACTAAGCAGTTTGTACTATTGGTGGAAGTTCAACAACCACAGGAGAACATTTGGCCTTTTCTTTTCAATTTGGTTCCAAAGCCCAGAATCATTTTACTCAAAGTCTCTATCCCCATTTCAGAGTCACTCGTCTCTTCCTTCATGGCATCAAATCCTTTTTTGCTGCCTGAAATACTTGTTCAATATCATTTCAAGGCCCAACTCAGCCCAGGGTATAATTTTTCCCTTCAAATATCCTTGACACTGCATGTCATGAAGCTTTTAATAATTTCAGTTTCACTTACACTAAAGATACCAGCTAGAGATGTACTTCTTGAGCAATCGATCCCATGCTTCCTAATCCAAAAAATAGTCCTTGGGCTATTGAAACATAAAAAAAAAACTATTTTATTCATGACTTTTATAGAGGAGTAGTTAGTTTCCAATATGCTCAGTAGAAAGCACAAGCTCCCTGTTACTATGACTTAAATGAGCAAACCACCCATAGCTGTTTGGCTGTACACTGACGTTAACTTATGCCACACCCGATGGTTGCTCAGAACTGCAATAGGTCATCAGGATGGTGAGATGTCCTTTCCAACTTCAGTCCCCATCTCATGAAAATCAGCTAGCAACTATCCATAAACAAGTCACCATTGTGAAAATCCCAGCTCCCAGGGATGAGGCTGAAGCACCCCTCTGAAACAGAGACTAAGAAGGACTACATTAGAAGGGTGAGAGGAACAGCTACACCCTGACTGCATCACCACTCCCCCAGGCTGACATAGCACTGCACCAACAGAGCTCCCCGGGGCCTACCGTTTCTCCAGTGAGAAAAGAGAGCCCAAGGTAAGTATCCAGCTCATCCAGAATTATAAGGTGCTTCCTGGCAGGCCCACTCAGGTCTCACATCACAGGAACCACTGGGGATCAGATAGAGATGGAGAGGGAGGAAGAGCAAGGCTTACAGTAGCATCCCTCAAACCTTGGCCAACCATATTCCCACTTGCAGTAGCACCTCAGCAAAAGACCCCAGCCAGCAGCAATGCCAATTTGCAGAGAGAAGAGCTGCTGGCCTTGTCTGGCCAGAGAGCTTGGTTAGCACTGCTGCCTGATTTGGGTCCCCATTCAGTGAGCCATACTACCACTCCACTGAGGCAGGGAAGCAAATTCACAAGCCCACCCAACTGCTGAGCATAGCCTTAAGTCCTACCCAGCCATGAAGTCTGGCCAGAGAACCCAGATAGCGAAGAAGTCCATCCTATAGCCCTGCTTGGGCAAAGAGTCAAGCCAGTAGCCCTGACCAACTGTTGAGCATAACCCCTGGCCCCATATAATCAGGGAACAATAATCCTGGGCAGCCTCGTAGCCCAGCCCACAATAACCCAAGCCACAGAACCAGCTTACAACCCCACTCAGCAGTGGAGCCCAGCCTGCAGTCCCACTGAACTTCAGGGCACAGCCTGTGGCCCCACATAAACATAGAGCCCAGCCAGTAACACCATCCTGATTTGGTTAGCATGGCCTGAGACCCCCACCTAACCAGCAATTGCAGAGCCTAGCCTATAGCAGCCCATTCATGGCATCTAAACATTGATACCACCCTGCCAGATTAGAGCCTGCAACTTCACCCCTCCATAGATGATTGCAGGGCTATTGGCCCAACCTGACTATTGGGCATGGCCAGAAGTTCTGCCCAAACAAGAAGCGAAGTTCACCAAAGAAATAGAAACCATCGGAGAATAAAACAGAAATTCTAAAGCTGAAGAATACAATGACTACAATGAAAAATTCAAAAGGAGCTTCAACAGTAGACTCAACCAAAGAAAGAATCAATAAAATAGAGGATAAGTCATTTGAAATTATCTAATCAGAGGAGCAAAAAGAAAATAAGAGTGAAGAAAGCCTATGGGAGTTGGAAACATACATAAAAAAGAAACAATATACACATTACACAAACCCCAGAAGGAGAAGAGAAAGAGACAGGGACTGAAAGTTTATTTAAAGCAATAATGAATGAAAACTTCCCAAATTTGGGGATAGAAACGGGCATCCAGATTCATGAGGCCCAAAGAATACAAAATAGGTTGAACCCAAAAAAGTGCTACACTGAGGCATGTTGTAATTAAATTGTCAAAAATCAAAGACAAAGAAAGACTTTTGAAAGCAGTGAGAAGAGACAAGTTACACACAAAAAAACCCCATAAGATGATCAGCAAATTTTTCAACAGAAGCTCTGCATTCTAGGAGAGAGTGAGATAATGTATTCAAAGTATTGACAAAAAAAAAAAGAAGAAGAAGAAGAAGAATATAGCAGGCAAAGGTGTCCTTCACAAATTAAAGGAGAGATTATGCTGTTCCTAAACAAACAAAAGCTGTGGGAGTTCATCACCACTGGACCTACCTTACAAGATAGGCTAAAGAATATTCTTCAAGCTGAAATTTTAAAATGCTAATTAACATTATAAAAACATATGAATGTTCGGAAATTACTGTTAATGGTAAATATAGTCAAAATCTAATTATCTAGTATTGTAACGGCGGTGCATAATTAATTAGAACTACTCAGCAAATGCAATAAAGTCGCAGGATATAAAATCAATGCACAAATGTCAGTTGCATTTCTATATACTAACAATAAACTATCTGTAAAAAAAATTAAGAAAACAATCCCATTTACAATTGCATCAA